GGACCCAGATCGGACAAATTTCTAGACATCCAAGTTTGATTCTTGGGTCTTTCACTGATTGGCCGAGTGTACAAAGAACAAAGAAAATTACAGCACAGGAATAGGCCCTTTGGCCCTCCAAGCCTGTGCCAATCCAGATCCTCTATCTAAACCTGTCTCCTATTTTCCAAGGATCTGTACCCCTCTGCTCCCTGCCCATTCATGTATCTGTCTAGATACATCTTAAATGACGCTGTTGTGCCCGACTCTACCACCTCCGCTGGCAACGCGTTCCAGGCACCCACCACCCTCTGTGTAAAGAACTTTCCACGCATATCTCCCTTAAACATTCCCCTCTCACCTTGAAATCGTGACCCCTAGTAATTGAGTCCCCCACTCTGGGAAAACAGCTTCTTGCTATCCATCCTTTCTATACCTCTCATGATTTTGTAGAGCTCAATCAGGTCCCCCCTCAACCTCCGTCTTTCTAATGTAAATAATCCTAATCTAGTCAACCTCTCTTCATAGCTAGCACCCTCCATACCAGACAACATCCTGGTGAACCTCCTCTGCACCCTCTCCAAAGCATCCACATCCTTTTGGTAATGTGGCGACCAGAACTGTATGCAGTATTCCAAATGTGGTTGAACCAAAGTCCTATACAACTGTAACATGACCTACCAAATCTTGTACTCAATACCCCGTCCGATGAATGAAAGCATGCAGTATGCCTTCTTGACCACTCTATCGACCTGCGTAGTGACCTTCAGGGTACAATGGACCTGAACACCCAGATCTCTCTGTGCATCAATTTTCCCCAGGGCTTTTCCATTTACCTTATAGTTTGCTCTTGAATTGGATCTTCCAAAATGCATCACCTCGCATTTGCCTGGATTGAACTCCATTTGCCATTTCTCCGCCCAACTCTCCAATCTATCTATATCCTGCTGCATTCTCCGACAGTCCCCTTTACTATCTGCTACTCCACCAATCTTAGTGTCATCTTAGTGTAGGTGGGTCAAATAGTTGTTAAGTCTAGAATCGAAAATCAGATTCAGTACTAATGACTATGAAATTATCATTGATTGTCATAAAAACCCCATCTGGGGTTCATTACTGTCCTTGAAGGGGAATCTGCCATTCTTACCCAGTCAGGCCTTCATGTGACTGCGGACCCACAGCAATGTGGTTGGCCAGTGCTGTCTCAAGTGGCTCAGTCATGCACTAAGTTGTACCCAACATCTAGAGAAACGATGATCCATATCAACAACTGCAGTTTAGCAGGGATGCAGTGGCCTTGCGGTATTGTCACTAGACTAGCAATCTAGTGGAAACTTAGGTAATGTTCCAGAGATCCTGGGTTCAAATCCCACCATGGCAGGTAAAAATATACAATTAAAATTCTAAAGATAATCGTGGAACCATTGTTGTAAAACCCATCTGGTTCATGAATGCCCTTTACAGAAGGAAACTACAGTCCTTATCTGGTCTGGCCTACATGTGACTCCAGACCCAAAGCAACATGGTTGACTGTAGCCCCCAAAATGGTCCAAGAAGGCAGTCAGTATACCTGAGTACAACTAGGTTTGGATAACAAATGTTGGCCTTTCCTTCAGCACCTGCTCAAATAAATCTTTCATATGTCTTATTGTGATTACAGTACTAAAAGGTGGTATTGTTGGTGTGGTCAAAACTAAGCCATATTTTCCCCACATTAGTGAAAGAATTAAATATTTTACTGCAAGGATCCCTATGACAGTTGTATCATGCGAGATGTGAATTATCAAGTACATCATAGAAATATCAAATGACTATGAAGTATATATATTTTAGGTATTAAAAAGAAATTTATACCCCTTTTTATTATTACTTCTTCCACCTTAGCAGAATTCAAACATTTTGTGCCATTTTTGTCATTCTACAATTCAAGTGAGGTGATGACCTAGAAATGTGACACAACTTGTGTGCTTCCTGCAGATTTATTTAAAGCAAATTAATCACTTGATACCTTTTAAGAAAATGTTGGTTTATTTAACTAGTCCAGCATATAAATTCAGATTAAAAGGCATTGTTGTAATTATCTAGGGCTGTTCATTAGATGGAAAATACCTTTACTTGTGCTGTTGCAGTGAGGTATTTATATCCTTGTTATTGTGTAATATTCTGTTATTAATGGCTGAGGAATTAGGTATTTGAACAGATTGAGAGTGATGAACTATGACCAGAATGGGCAGTGATGGGTTAAATATATTCAATTCATTTTTTTGTTGGTAGTCAAGCAACTTGCAAGTATGCCGGATAATTTTGCCACGAAATTTATTTTAAAAACTGTGGGAGTCGGTGGGCTTGAAATGGATATCGGTTTCTTGGTGGTTGCCTGAGATGGAGCCAGAGAGGTCCAGAAAGGAGAGAGCGGTATTAGAGATGGTCCAGGTGAACTTAAGGTTGGGGTGGAAGGTGTTGGTGAAGTGGATGAACTGTTCGAGCTCCTCGTGGGAGCATGAGGTGGCGCCGATACAGTCATCAATGTAACGGAGGAAGAGGTGGGGTTTAGGACCAGTGTAGGTACGGAAGAGGGATTGTTCCACGTAACCTACACACAGGCAGGCATAGCTTGGGCCCATGCGGGTACCCATGGCCACCCCCTTTGTCTGTAGGAAGTGGGAGGAATTGAAAGAGAAGTTGTTGAAGGTGAGGACGAGTTCCGCTAAGCGGATGAGGGTGTCAGTGGAGGGGGACTGGTCGGGCCTGCGGGACAGGAAGAAGCGGAGGGCCTTTAGGCCATCTGTATGGGGAATGCAGGTGTATAGGGACTGGACGTCCATGGTAAAGATGAGGTGTTGGGGACCAGGGAATTGGAAGTTCTGGAGGAGGTGGAGGGCGTGGGTGGTGTCACGGACATAGGTAGGGAGTTCCTGGACCAAGAGGGAGAAAATGGAGTCCAGATAGTTGGAGATAAGTTCGGTGGGGCAGGAGCAGGTGGAGACAATGGGTCAACCAGGGCATTCAGGTTTGTGGATTTTGGGAAGGAGATAGAAGCGGGCAGTGCGGGTTTGGGGAACGATGAGGTTGGAGGCCGTGGATGGGAGGTCACCTGAGGTGATGAGGTTGTGGATGGTTTGGGAGATGATGGTTTGGTGGTCGGGGGTGGGGTCATGATCAAGGGGGCGGTAGGAGGAGGTGTCGGAGAGTTGGTGTCTGGCCTCGGTGATGTAGAGGTCAGTGCACCATACTACAACTGCGCCTCCCTTGTCCGCGGGTTTTATGGTGAGATTGGGATTGGAGCGGAGGGCTGCACGTTCTGCGGGGGAGAGGTTGGAGTGGGTGAGAGGGGTGAAGAGGTTGAGGCGATTGATGTCTCAATGGCAGTTGGAGATGAAGAGGTCGAGGGAGGGTAGGAGGCCTTGGGGTGGTGTCCAGGAGGAGGGGGTGTGTTGGAGGCGGGAGAAGGGGTCAGTAGAGGGAGGGTTAGGTTCACGGTTGAAGAAGTAAGCGTGGAGGCGGAGCCGGTGGAAAAACTGCTTAATGTCCAAACGTGACCGGTATTCGTTGATGTGTGGGTGGAGGGGGGACAAAGGTGAGCCCTTTACTGAGGACTGACCATTCGTCCTCAGTAAGGGGGAGGTCTGGGGGGATGGTGAAGACTCGGCAGGGCTGGGTGTTGCTGTCTCCCCCAGAACTGCTGGCTGTGGAGGTGGTGGGCGGAGCGACGTCGGCGTCGGCTGTGGGCGGGGTTGTGTTGGCGTCAGCGGTGGGCGAAGTTGCGTCGGCGGTGGGCGGAGTTGCGTCCGCATCGGTGGGCGAAGCGGGGTAGGTGGCGGCAGCAGCAACGGTGACGGTAGGCGCGTCTTCAGTGTCTGTGGTGTTGGTGTCGGAAATGGAGGCGGTGGCACCAGCAGCGATGGCGTTCGCTGTCCCGGAAGTGGGGTACCCGGTGGTGGCGGATGTGACGTCATCTGTGGGTTCTCCGACAGTGACCTCAATCCCTCCCTAACTCCCCACCTACACTCACCTTTACTGGCTCCATCCCCGCCTCTTTGACCTGTCTGTTTCCTCTCCACCTATCTTCTCCTCTATCCATCTTCTATCCGCCTCCCCCTCTCTCCTTTTTTATTTCAGAACCCCCTTCCCCTCTCCCATTTCTGATGAAGGGTCTAGGCCCGAAACGTCAGCCTTCCTGCTCCTATGATGCTGCTTGGCCTGCTGTGTTTATCCAGCTCTACACCTTGTTATCTCAGATTCTCCAGCATCTGCAGTTCCTACTATCTCTGAAATTGATAGGAAGTTGTGGAGGTAGGTACAATTACAACACTTAAAAGGCATCTGGATGGGTGCATGAATAGGAAGGGTTTCGAAAGATGCGAGCCAAATGTGGCAAATGAGATTAAATTAATTTAGGATATCTGGCCAGCGTGGATGAGTTGGACTGAACGATCTGTTTCTGTGCTGTAGATCTCTGTCACTCTATGACTGAGAAAGAGTCAGCTGGTTCGAAACCTAAAGGAGTGGTGAATGAAGTATTGTGACTTGCTGAGAGGGACTGGGAAGACTAAAACCGCTGAGCAATGTGTCAACCCCTCATTTCTCAGGCTGCATGCTGCAGAGATGAACATCCAAGATTTGCAGCTAGCTTTTCATCTCTATCTCACTATCCAATCACATTAAAATGCCTGTCACATATTCCAGATGATTTTATGTTTTATCGATGTGCCTCTCCAGAAATAAAGCACATGACAAGACTTTTGACTTGAGTCTGAAAATTGTGCTGAATTTTCAAGTCAACTTGTGTTCTCATAGTGGTCTAACCATCATGACACTGTCATGCCAGTGGGACCACAGAAGTTCTACACTGCAGTGCGAAAAATGCAGCAATATTTTCACGCGTAAAATTTAAGACACGATGATCAGGTCTTAACAGTACAAGAGGTTAAAAAAACAAACTGTACTGCATGTAAAAGAAATAATTCCTTAATGCGACACAGCCAATCATTATTCCATTACCCAAAGCGTGATATTGATACCTTGGCTGATCACTGCTTTTCTGTTCTGGCCATCAAGGTCCGCACGCTCGATCACATGATGCTTGGCATCTACCCAGTACATCTTTTGTCCTGCATAGTCAATGGTGAGCCCATTTGGCCAGAAGAGATGAGTATCTGCAATGATCTTGCGGTTAGAACCGTCCATGGCTGCATATTCTATCCGGGGGGTGTTACCCCAGTCCGTCCAATAAATAGTTCTGTAAAACATATCAGATATATCAATAGAATGCAATGAAGATCAGGTGCTTTGAGCTAAACGAAACAAGCTTTACTCAAGAACGGAACCACTGTATCCCAGTTATCATTACATCTATAAAACCAAACTAAATACTGAAGTAACTGAACAGGATAACTCATAGCCATTGAACATTTTTGAAACAACCAGTTAAATTCTAATAAAAACCTGGTAACTGGAGAAGGCCATTCAGCACCTCAAACCTGCTCCGCTGTTCCAGCACAGCTGATCATGTACTTCAATAGCATATTCCTGCAGTAACCCTTATTCCTCAATGCCAACAGCACCCAGAAATTTATATCTCTTTCTTGAACATACTCAACGAGTCTCCACATCTCTTTGCGATTGAGAATTCTAAGGATTCACCACTTTGAGCGAAGAAATTCCTCATCTCTAAATAGGTTGCCCTTTATTTGGAGACCATATCCCTTGATTCAAGATCCCTACCCTACTGTGCTTTCTGTATTTAACCTGTTTAGCCCTTTATGAATTTTATCGGCTTGAATGATATCTCCTCTCATTCTCCTCAACTATAAAGAACCCAGACACAGTCTGTTCAATCCCTTTTCAGCGGACAGTCCCACCATCCCAGGAATTAGTTTGCCAAACAAATATTAATCCAATATACCCAGTGAAAATGGAGCATACTTGGGTCAGATGCCTGATTTGACGACACAACACCTTATACAGGTGAATGATCTCAATGGAGCTACACGTTGGACATTGAGTTAAAATCCAGGTTGGTTTTCTCTCTGATAGGATAGCACCATTCATTGATTAGACTCTACAAGTGCTATACTATTCGATCAAAGATTTCAATTTTAGGCTGAATGTGGAGGTGGGTATGGGGAAGTGGTGCAAAAAAAAAGAGACTATGGTTTATAATAACATCCCAAAATGATTAGGTGCTGTTTAACTATTCATCTGAGAGGAAGCCAATGACAGTCATTCTGTACTTTAACAGAATTTATAAAACTAATTTTCAAATCCCAGGAAGTTACTGTTTCCAAACTTCTTCAGTACGGCATTGTTGTCATGTTGAATGGGAAAAAAAGATTTTTGCAGTTAGGTTTAAACAAATTTGCACTACACATTGCAACTTACATGTGCAATGTTCTAGAACGCATTTATTGCAGTTTACAGCTGTAATGTGGTAGTGATAAAGGCAAGTATTAGAACCAACAGCTTGCTAAACGTAGTGTGAAATTTACTTTGCAAAATTTAATCTGATGGCTAAGAAAACATTACAGCTTTTCTGTCTTTTTTAAAAAGTATCTTAACAGAACTCACATTTCCCAAATCAAAGACAATGGAAATGATTCACGACTCTCCTCTGGAGAGTTCTGTCTTTAAAATCACCATGAAGTATAACGGGTAGCTGTAATTGCAAAAAGAGTGTGAGTAGCACTCTCCAGAAAATGTGGCATTTTTTGCTTTCATGCAAGTCCCAATTCATTCCGTAAAGAACCAGCACGGCTGACTGAACAAAAAAGTAAGTAAGTCTGGGATATGTCTAATAAATCAAAGTGACAAGGTCAGAGTCACAGAATAAGAATTTGGCCATTTAAGATTGAGATGAAGGGAAATGTCTTCAGTATCTTGGAATTCCCAACCTCAGAGGACTGATACTCGGATTTAGAGTCATACGGCATGGAACAGGCCCTTCAGCCCAACTCATCCATGCCGACCAGGTTTCCTAAACTGAACTAGTCCCAGTTGTCTGTGTTTGGCTCATATCCTTCTAAACCTTTCCTATTCATGTACCTGCACAAATGTCTCTTAAATCTGTAATTGTACCTGCTTCGACCATGTCCTCTGGCAGCTCATACCATATATGCAACACCCTCTGTGTGAAAAAGTTGCCCTTCAGATCTCTTTTAAATCTTTACCCTCTCACCTTAAACCTATGCCCTCTAGCTTTGGACTCCTCTACACTGGGAAAAAGACCTGGACTACTCACTCTATCCAAACCCCTCATGATTTTACAAACCTCTACAAAATCACCCCTCAGTATCCCATGCTCCAGGGAAAATGGCTAAAGCCTATTCAGCCTCTCCCTATAGTTCAAACTTTCCAGTCCCAGCAACATCCTTATAAATAATTTCTCATGCCATTATTCAATCCATTTACTTTTGAAAGAAACAAATCGACCTTCCTAAAGTCTAGCCATGAACATATTTCAGGAACCAAATTACACAACAGAATTCTTGTGCTTTGAACAAGTACAGATCACTTTCAAGTTCTGGAGTAGTGCCCCTCGATAGCTCAAAGCAATCACATTTGTGCAAGTGATTTTGAGCTCAGACTTATAAATACTTACAAACGTAGACATCCTGACTCTGAAATTACAGTGATGAATATTAGCTTACAACTGCTTAACAAACCCCTCTGAAATTGTTCCGCAGTTTTAGCTCAGGTATTGCAGCAGATGGATTAATGTTCATTTGAAGTAAAAGTAAAAAAAATCTAAGATAGCAAAAAGATGTTTCCAAAGTAGAGCGCAATGTCAGTATTTTATATAAAATTATGAGGGGCATTGAGAGGGTAAACAGGAAGGAACATTTCCTCTTGGTAGAAGAATCAATGACAGGAGTGGGGGTGGGGCATAGATTTAAGGGAAGGGGCAGGAGTTTTAGAGGGGATGAGAAGAAAGTTTTTTCTACTCAGAGGGTGGTAGGAATCTGGAACTTGCTGCTTGGAAGGGGGATAGTGGTAGAAACCCTCAACACATTTAGACATGCACTTGTGATCCCAAAGCATACACGGCAATGGGCCAAGTGATGGAAGATGGGATTGGAATAAGCTGCTGGTTGTTTTTGACTGGCACAGACCTGATGGGTTGAAGGGCCTTGCAGATCTCTGTGACTCTATTGCCTGGCCCATGGTAGTATAACGTCCCTGAAGACAGGCAAACTGACAGATCTGATTAAGAGAGCCACTTAGTAACTGAACTGGAATTAATATGAACGGGGGCATCAAAATAATGACCACAAAATGGGATAGAGAGCAGGATACAAAATCAATGCTAGGGGAAAAAAAACTAAACTACAATGTCAGGACAACAGAAGCTCTTTAAAAATGGAAAGACACAGTCAGTAAACGGAACAGCTGAAATTGAAACAGTAAGACAGCAGATATAAAAAACCACCAAGTTAGGAGAACAAATTGAAACAAATAAGAGAAATCCATCCCATGCCAAATATATTCATTATCTGAGGATAAGCAACGTTCTCCATTCAGATGCTTTTGTGGATTTGCCTGGGGCTGAGAGACACCATAACTAACAGAACATCAAAGAGTTAGTTTAATTTACTGTGTATGAAGTAAATCTTTTGGTCAGCCCCCAGTGACAGGGTGTACCACGTCAAAATGACCTTTGCGATTATGGCATGCTATTAAAAAAAAGCTCTGAGTCATTAAAACTGCTACAAATTACAGAGACAACAAGGT